CAATGCTGAAACACTGCAACTGCAGACTGCGGTAGCTGCTGTGAGGGAAATGAACAATGTACTGTGACAGAGCAACTAGGGAAGAGCTCTTGTGACAGGTGATATCTGGGCTGAGACCCAGAAGATGAGCATCAATCAGTCATGAGATGAGCTGAGGGAAGAACAGTGCAGGCAGCAGCTGAACTTTTTTTTTTTTAAATAAGCTCTATGCCCAACATGGGGCTTCAGTCATGACCCTGAGATCAAGAGTGGTATGCTCTACTGACTGCACCAGCCAGGCGCCCCAGCAGCAGCTGAACTTTTATATCATGTCTGAAACAAACTATGGAAGAGTACAGATTGTCCTCCTGGGAGTTCTCCAAAAGCTTGTTTTCTCTATTATCTTTGGCTTTGAGTATTTGAAAAGCCGATCTGTGTATTATCTTTGGTTTTGAGTATTTCAAAAAGAAGGCCAATAAGGAATTAAATTTATTGAACGCTTGGGGTGCTGTATGCTTTTTCCACGCATAAAACAAGGTGTTCTCCTAAAGAGTGTTCTTTTAGGTCATCTGTTGAACATACCACAATCAGTGGGATCAATAGCATGTTACTTGTGTTCTACTTGTATCCCTGGAGCTATAGGATGTTGTAGCTATTTACAACAACCATCATTACCCAAATGCAAGCATTAAAGCATTTTATACATAAGTGTCTTCTTATAGGCAAATGTGAATTTCAAAGTAGGTACATTCTTGGTCAGCAAAGAAGAAAGAAAAGGCTTTAAATGAAAAGCTGTCCTTTCAACATTTTTTAAATGTTGAATTTTAAATCTATATACTGGCTTTTTAAAATCTATATACTGGCTTTCGGTGTGATTCTATGTCATAACACATGTCTACCCTAGGTAAGAGCTTTATTCAAATATGAAAATATTTTATATTATAGAACTATTTCACAATTATTTATACATTAATAAAATAACTTAAATATACAAGTCACTATTTCGGTGTTCTTCGTTCCCTCCCTATACATCATCCCCTCTTCTCTACCTTATTCATAAATTACAAAACCCTGAAAACTCCACATAAGAAATAATTTTCAATCCTACCCCTACTTCATTCTCCCCACAATGATTGCCTTAATTCATGCTTTTAAGTTCTCTCCATTGATCTTTTGAACAATCTTAACTAGTCTTCCTAAGAGCCTCTTCCTTCTCTAGCCCTTCTTTTATACAGTTACCAGATTATGCTCCTAAAAACTGAACAAAGTTCCTGTCCTCATGGAGTTTACATTCTAGTGGAAGGGACTGAAAGTAAAAAAAGAAAAAAAAAAAGTCAAAATAAACATGTGATATTGAATGTAAAGAAAACAGAGTTAGGGTAAAAGGAAAGATTAAAGGAGGGAGTGATTCAGTTTTAATGGGATATAACTGACATATAGCACTATAAATTCAGAGTGTGTGCATCAAGAGGGAGTAATTTTAGGTAGGGTGGTGACCTTTGATTATAACAAATGTTAATGACCTTCAGCCAATGTCAGCAGGAATACACCCATAGTCAAACCAAGTTGGGTTTATTGACTTGTCACAAGGACACAGTATAACAAGAGGAACTGTAGAGAATCTCAGTAAAAAGGTGTTGTAAAAGATATATTATAACTGGGCTTGTGTTAGGTGATTCTAGAAAGGTTCAAGGCTTTCCTCTGGATTGGCTGCTGTCAGGAAGCAGAGGTAATTCTATGATGGAATATTTTATTTTATTTTATTTTTAAAAATTTTTTGAATGTTTATTTATTTTTGAGACGGAGAGTGAGAGAGAGAGAGAGAGAGAGAGAGAGAGAGAGAGAGAGAGAGAATGAGTGGAGGAGGGGCAGAGAAAGAGAGGACACAGAATCTGAAGCAGGCTCCAGGCTCCGAGCTGTCAGCACAGAGCCTGACGCGGGGCTCAAACTCACGAACCGTGAGATCATGACCTGAGCTGAAGTTGGACGCTTAACTGACTGAGCCACCCAGGCGCCCCTGATGGAATATTTTAATAACTGTTTTTCTAGTAGGAAGAATAGATCAAGGGTAGGTTGTAATAGGTCAAGAAACAGGTCATTTATATTAACCAGAAATGCTTGGTCATTTTTGTGGTTTGAAGAATGTTCTTGTATTTGCTTTGTTTAGACAGAATTATAGAGGAGTCTTTTCTTTTTTTAATTTATTTTTAGTTTTAGAGAGGTCATCATAGAGCCTGACATGGGGCTTGAACTCACAAACTGTAAGATCATGCCCTAAGTTGAAGTCAGACGCTTAACCAATTGAGCTATCCAGGAAGGGTCTTATATTGGGCCTAGTATGGTTACAGAGTGGCCATGACTGATATTGATGTTTTGTAAGATTGTTTACATTCAACAGAACACTCAGACCTAGCTGAGAATGCCAGAGACACCAAGGCCTAGCTAAGAGTTCCAAGCCAGCTTCTGGTTGTTCAGAAGCTGCTTTTATTTTTCTAACAAAACCATCAAGTGTTATAATTGTTTCTAAGTTGCTACTTACAACTCTTACTCATAACTGTTTCCTGAATATTTATCAGTGTTATTATTTAGGATACTTAGTTCTAAAACTCATCACAGCTCTGATGACCACAGCAGTAGCTTACTTAATCATTACTAAAATACACAAGATTGCTACATGCTGTGGTAAAGAGAAAAACAGCCACCTGTTTGTGGTTGAATGCCTCTGGAATTGGAAGAATTAGTTCTGTGAATTTCAGAAACCCTTTCAACAATTTCAGTCACTTGCCTCATATTCTGAAAGCTAAGAAGTTGGAGTTAGATTATATGTGCGGTTCTGATAGATCTGCATGGTGTCAAGCTGGGTAGTGATCACGTGGGGAGCTTGTTAAAATCAGGTAGAGATTTGAGGGCCCCAAGTCGAGAAGCTGATTTAGCCTAAGTTTGGGACATTTATCCATGTTTTTTTGTTTTTTTTTTCCTTTCTTTTTAATTACTGAGTAGTATTCCATCAAATTAGTGTACCAGCTTATTTATCCATTCTCTACTGATGGACCTTGGGATTGTTTACAGATTTTGCTGATCATGAATGAAACTGCTATGAATATTTTTGTGCAGGTATTTTTGTGCATATAGGCTTTTATATGTGAGTAAATACGGAAGTGGAATTGTTATGTCATAGTGCATGTTTAATTAATAGGGAACTAATGGGTCCATAATCTTGACATTAAGTAATATAAGAAGATTTAGAACATCAACTTTTGTTCAGAGTGCAGCTTGGTAGAGACCCCAAAGGACCTGTAGTTACAAGGCCTCAGGCAACCCCTGTCACCCCTTAATTCTCCTCCTCAGTATTGGACCTCCGGAGCCAGAGAAGATTCCTATACAGTCCCAGAGGAATGAAAGCTGTGTGTATAACATCTGCAGAAACGTAGTTTCTGTACTGTAGGTACAGATCTGTACGTAGGTACGTAGGTACTGTATCAGTACCTTCTGATAGTGAGTGATACGTAAAAACCCTCCGACAAGCATTTTCCTCTAGGTTCCCAGGGATTCCACCTGGCTGTGATCAAGCTCAGAAACGGAGATCCCTGAGTGCTGGAAGGTCTAAAATAAAAGTCATTCTTGACAAAGAGGCCGTTATTAGCAAAGGTTGGATGGTATGTTTGAGCAAAGGCTGGGGGAGGTTGGCCACAGGGGTGGGAGTCACACAGACTCAGACAATGGTCTCTACACTGATTGGCCTTGAATCTTGAAATAATTGCTTCCTCAGTTTTCTCAAGTTATCCTTAGCAGCTTTTAAAAACACCTGCCACTTTGCCTCCACTCTTCAGCAGGTAAGCAGGCTCCACTTAAAAGGAAAATAGAGACTATGTGACAGGAACTTTCTCACTTTCATATCTCCCTATCTGTAGCCATTTTTTATGTATCTTTCCCTATTCCTCCCAATCAGTGAAGACGATACTCCTCCTAAGATACTCTGCCATTCCACCATCTCAGGGGCCTTGCTGGCTTATCTCCTCCCTTATACTGACGCATTCCCATCATTTAAGCCTCTTCGAATTTGTCCCTCGTGAAACCTAACCTTCTCTCAATACTAGGTACTGCTCTGATCATTGTCCTACTTCTTGGATCCCATTACACTCAAACCTTGTAAATGGCTGTCTGCAAAGCCTATTCCCTCTTTCTCTTGGGGATCATCAAGGTCAGTTCAGAACGCTTTATCCTATAGTTGGCACTGCACAATCATTTTCAAGGTATACGATGGGTGGTCGATGGGACTCCAGGAGTGCAGACGATAGTCCTCTGTAGCTTGTAGTCTGGAATGCCGGATGACTCACTCGGTTGGGAAACTTTGTATCTTTTTGGCGTGCAAAAGTAACGTGATATACGCTTTCACTTTGAAATAAAGTTATGAACTCTGCAGTTGGCCACAAGCAACAAGTATAAACACAAGTGAAATACACAGCGGTTGCGGCACCACTAATTAGCCACTCACGTGAAAACACAGGGGCACACCACCCAAGGGCGACGCATCTAGTACTGCACCGGAGAGGCTACCAGGGAGCCAAGTGGGCTTCCGGCGGAACCCTGTTTACAGCTCCTCAGTGGTCTCGGTATCCGAGTGTGGGGGAGGGGGTGAGGGGAACAGCGCAGCGGCTCCCGGCCAATGGCAGTTCTTGAACTTACACCTACAGACGTCAGCAAACGGATGTCACACAGCTGGCTCGGAAGCGTCTCCTCCCGCCTCAGAAAAGAGGCGTGGGCCCAGCGGCCTCCGCGAAACCTTGGGCGAGGGAGGGAGGGAGTGGCGCGCGTCGCTCCCCGAGAACCCCGCGCGCAAGCCGGTCCGCTTCTTCCCAGCAGTCCCTGCCTAGCGGCCGTCCCCGGTGAGCAGCCGGGCGCCCGCGCGCCCGCCCCGAGCGCGCCGCCGCCAGCTCCGCCCCCTCCTCGAGCGGGCCGCGCGCTCCTGCGGCTCCGAGCCGTGTCGCGGGCGCGCGCGCCGCCGGCGGAGCCGCAGTTAAAATGGTCCGAGCGGGACCTCGCGTTCCCCCCGCCGCCGCACTGACTGACTGAGCCGGCGAACCAGGCTTGGACTGGTCGCCCAGCCGACAGGCTCGCTCCCTCCGTCGCGTCCCCAAAGCTCGCGCCCATCGTTCTCCCGGCTTCCCGGGGCAAAGCATGTAGCCCCCGTCGGGCGCCCGGGCGGCCCGCAGCTGACGCCCACCCCCCCACCGTCGCGTGTGTGCCCGTGTGTGCGTGTGTGTGCGCAGGGCGGGCGACCCCGCAGCGGGCCTGAGGCCGAGCCAGAGAGCGGCCTGCCCCGCTGCCGGAGCTCGCCTTTCGGGGCCTCCTTACTTCCCTGTCCCGGTCCCCCTCCTCGGGGCCTTCTATATGGGCCACCTTCTCTCGAAGGAGCCGCGTAACCGCCCGAACCAGAAGAGGCCTCGCTGTTGCAGCTGGTGCCGCCGCCGCCGCCCTCTCCTCAGGCTGCCCCGCCGGACCCCGGCCAAGGCGCCCCCCCAGCCGGCGGCGCCCCGGAGCCGGGACTGCTTCTTCCGCGGGCCCTGCATGCTCTGCTTCATCGTGCACAGCCCCGGCGCGCCCGCCCCCGCCGGCCCAGAGGAGGAGCCGCCGCTCTCGCCGCCGCCGCGGGACGGGGCCTACGCCGCGGCCGCCTCCTCGCAGCACCTGGCGCGGCGCTACGCGGCCCTGGCTGCCGAGGACTGCGCTGCCGCCGCCCG